CCAATTTTCTTTGTGGTGTACTTCTAAATCTATGCCATTTTCAGTGATCTCTCTTTAAGAGCCTGTGAAAGCTCTCTTTACACCTTTTGGTAGTCCACACCTTGTTACATTGTGACTTCAAAAGACTAAATATAGTTAAAGAGATTGAATATAGTGTTGATAGTTTTAGCCTGAAGTGCTTTGTTAGTAATTGTTTAGACCTCAGTAGCTTTGAGTTAAGCTTCTTGATTTGAGATTTCTGTTGATCACACTTCACAACCAATCTTTCATATTCTTCAAGAATCTTCTTAACTTCATTGTCACTATCTTCTTCCACTTCACCTTGAACTTGAGACGTTTCAAGAATAACCATGAACAAACATTAATCTTTTTAACCTTCTTCTAGTTTATCTTTTTCAGGAGCAATATCCCAGTCAGAGATAAGAGCCTTCCTTCCAAATCTTCCTTTGTTGTTGAACCCTTCATTCTTCTTCTAGTTTTCCCCATTTGAATTAGGATAATTGGCTACATAGTAGCCAGACTTACCACAACCACAACAGGTTAGGTTTTAGGTTCGTGTTTTCTTCTTGAACCTAATTTTTTTGAACTTCTTAGCCAAGTAAGCTACTTTATCTTCCTCAAGATCATCATTTTCAGACTTTGGTTCAGCTTTTTCAATCACTTCTTTGGCCTTAAGAACAACTTCTCTTATGTGTTGAGTAGGGGCACCAATTCTCATCTTATAGGCTATGAGAAAGACTTAATGAACATCAATTTTCATCACTGACAAATCTTTATCTTCAAGAATGGTGACTTTGGCATTGAATCTAGAGGTTAGAGACCTCAGCATATTCTTACACACTTCAAAATCTTTGATGTTTTCATCAGAGCCTTCATATTGTTAACTATCTTATTGATTCTGAATAAGTAATCTGCTATATCTTCCCTTCCCTCCATCTTAGATCTTTCATATTAAGCCTTTAGAAGCTGTATCTTATTCTTTTTGATTATATTGTTCCCTTCATGAATAGCCTTAAGAGAATCACACATTTCTTTTACTGTCTTGCAATTTTTAATCCTTGTGAACTCTTATTGTTTAAGAGCACAAAAGAGTACATGTTTTGCCCTTCTATCATTAGCCAAAGTAGCTCTGTTATCTGCAGAAGGATTAATTGGATGGAGAACAACAATGCCGAACATCATAGGATTGAGACATTAGAAAAGGCTTCCATCATAGTCTTCTAAGAATCATAGTTGGAACCATCAAACCTTGGTGCCTTGTTGGGGACATGACCTTCCTCCATTGCAAGGATTAACTGCAAGCTTATTAGAACCTTATTATGCAGACCAAAGCTCTGATACCAATTGTTGGACCAAGAGGGGGGGTGAATTGGTCAATTTCAAATGCTTCTTCTTTATAGTAAGATCAATGTTGACCAGCAAATACAATGAACACAAGGTATACAAGGAAAACCCTCTCAATAGGAAAAACATTGGTTCTTAGCCTCAACCAATATAAGCTCCACTAGTTGTATGCAAGTAGTTACTTCATCTTCAGCTATCTCACACTCTGCATACACCCTTGTACAAGTTAAAACACTAGCTTTCACAGCCTAGCTCAACACAGTGTTCACAAGCACTCCCCTTGTCCTAAACACCCTTACTTGGACTTTGTAAGCTCCCGCAGCTCACCAAATACATATAAAAGAATGAATATCAACATTATTCAAGCATACACAAAAGATAAGAGCGGTTGTGTAGCTCAAAACAACAAGAGCGGTTGTGTTCCTTAAAACAACAATCTGTAGCCTCATGAATACCTTTTGCTGAAGCAAGGTTTGAGCAGTAGAATTGGAAATTCGTGTCCCCAAAAATTCTAAGATCAATCCCATAGCCTTATATCACCACTATTACAAACATACTCAGATGATAAACAAGATAAATATAGTATATGAATCACAATACAACATCAATAAAGCCTTGATAACAGCTTCACAATGAAGAACTAGGGTTTTGGTAGGTCAAAACCAAAGGTGACCAAAATTCTGTACAAAAACTAACTTGAACAACCTTGATTCATCAATACAAACTTGCTAGCATGTAGATCAAACATTGTATAGCAAGATATAAACAATCTATATATGAATCACAAGGCTAAACCAGAAAACAACTCAAATCACAGGTCTGAGAAGTGAAATTCATTTGCAGCAAAGTATAGCTCAAGAATAAGTGCTCAGCAAATGTAAATAGCTCAAATATACCTGTCTCAACCTTGACTTAACACCATAGCAACCTCAGGCCTAAAATGAACCTTCAAACCAGTCCTTGCACCAGCAAAACTTGACAGCAAATGGACTCCATGATGAACTCAGCTACAAGGATCAATTCAGTGACATTTATATGAAGATTTCAGATTTAGATCATCATTAAAGACCTTATAAATGTTGGTTCATATGAAGCTCTCGAGATAGGTTCAATAAAGGTTACAATTAGGGTTTTTCAAAAAACTTATTTATGCAGAATAGCTATAATAGTATTAATATACTCAAGTATACAATGCAAGTCCTACTATAAGAAGGATATACACATGGCACCTGTAGCCAATCATTGGCCAGAAAATATTTTGACATTCTTCATGTGAATAGACCACAATGCCCCTTGCCAACTTAGCTAAATTGTCCTCTAGTGTATCAGAAATTACAGTTCATTATATCAAGGCTGTAATAGCATTCTTATCCAAGACTGGTGATTAAGAAATGCAATGTAGTGTATTCACTCTCATTCTAGGATCACAACAACTTTTCACACACCTGAGCTTCAAGAAAAAAAGACTAAAATACCTTTGTAACAGCTACTTGTCATTCTTAGTCTCAATCTATTGCTGAGACTATATAATTCACAATGCATGCTAATTTATAGTTGTTCAATGTAATGCAGCTATCTGCAGCTATCTGAACAAATGTATAAACATATAATACAAATGTGAAATGACCAAAATACCCCTGTAGCCAATTTTCATATGCTGAACCTCAATTAACACAGTGAACATGCTTTAACAAGCTGAATAGCTGCAATATACTATCTTAAAGAATTGTGAAATTGTATCACAAGATGGTAAAATACCATACTACCTTTGAGATATGATATAAGCCACTGTGCACAACAAATGGTAATGATACTAGCCCTTAACAGCTCTGAAACACCAAGTTTTGACATTAAAAAGGCAAACACAAATTGGTACTAGGACCAACATAGCAGTTTGGTCATTTTGCATCAATGGAAATCGGCAAATGGGGAAAGAGTATTTGAAATCCTGCATGAAATAGAGCAGATTTATATGTATCCAAATCCATATTTTAATGTCAGGATTCATATTTGGATCTAAAATTGAATAAAATCATATGAACATAATCCGATACCATATAATTTAAAATGAAAAACCCTTACCTCCCTAAGGTTTGTTCAAATATCTCTCAACTGAAATTATTATCAAAACAATCTCTGACCTTCCCTAAGGTTTGTCCAAATATCTCTTAGATAAAACTATTGTCAAAATAGCTCTTGAGCTCACCCGAGATTTGTCAAAATAATATTTGACACCCTTGAAATTTGTCCAGATTTCTCTTACCACCCCTAACATTAATCAATGGAATATTTTCTAAAAGCTCAAAATACCTCTAAGGGAGAGAAAATGACTTAAATGACTATTTCAACCAAATTTAATTAGACAAAAACTACCATTTGTTATATCTACCCTCTTGGAATGTTTTTGAAGAGTTGAAAACAATTTTTTTTTTGTGGACAATTGAAGAACATATATATATTTGAATAAGTGGTTTGTTGATGAATCAAATGATGAATTATTATTAGCAAATGTCTATTTTGTTGAATTATATGAATTATTTGTTTAATACTTTGTTTTGACAACAAATATGTTGAATTACATATGCTGAAATGGTTATTTGGTATACTAACAAGGTCATTTGAGTTGTTTTGTCACTTAGTGGTAGTTTAGGTATTTATAAAATATTCCATTGACATAATTAATTATGCCTAACGTCAGAGGTGGTCAGAAATATTTGAACAAAACTCAAAGGTTGTCGGGGAGCTATTTTAACAATAGTTTTAGCTAAGACATATTTGAACAAACCTAAAAGGAGGTCGGGTATTTCATTCTATAATTTAAATAGGATCAAAAGCAAGTAAAATATACTCACTAGACTAGCATTAAAAAAATATATATTAGGATATATTTCCAAAGAATAAAAATAAAAAATTTCAGTGGGGGAAATTTACACATGGGGTCCGTGCTCATCTGTCTAACATTAAATCTAAAGTAAAACACAATCCAATCCATTTAAGAAATATTTAGATTTATATTCAAATTGAATGCTTGACAGATTTTCAACAAATATCTATGTCTTATTTTTTTTATATATTTAAATTCAAAATAGAAAATTCAAACTCGCTAAAATAGACTTTGAATTGGATTAATAAGACCCCTTTTTTTATTTTTATTTTTATTTTTTTAACCCTGGCAAATATAGAAAGCAGCACAAACACATCAAGACATACAATCCTTGACTCTTAAGCAACAAATATCAAACGAAAATGGACAAGAGCAACATCCTTTGGTACATGACTTCTAAATGGCGCTGCATCAACATGAGCAACTTTATTATCATACCTATGAACATGACTAAGAGAAGATGAAGAAAAACTCGGAAACTCTACTTTAATATCAAAAGAGATAGCATGAATTTCAGTAAGCTCATGATCAACTTCAGACAAAGCCTTAACCACAAGACCCATTTCAATAAGACCCATTTCAAACCTTAATTTGAGCAATATTTTTTTCACTTCATTCATTGTAAACTTTTCCAAATATTCATTTTTGTCAAAACAAATATACATTTTCAACTCTATTTCAATAAAAATATGCCTTTAAAAAGTACAGTAGGAAGTTGCTCTCAAAAAGAGACTTTCTGTCCTTTGGACTGTGACGTGCAAGTAAGATCCAAACCTTTTCACTTCTTTTCTCCAAAAATTTCAGAGGGAGTCCTAGGGAATTCAGAGGAGCATTTACTCCATATGGTCCAGATTCAAACAGACGTGTACATGATCCCCAAATTGAACAGATTTGAAGCGTCAAAAGTAAAATTTATTACTCTACTCTTATCAATTCAATTGTTTACTATTATATTTACTTAAACAATAATTGTTTACTACTAGTTGAGCAATTTTTTATTGCCTTGTTGATTGATTACTTTAACGTTTTGCCAATAAACATCTAGATTCTCGTGAGTGCAAATCAAGGTGTCACTCACAAAAGCAAAGCTGATGATAGATGAAATCACACCCTCTTTTGTTTGTTGCTTTTGTTGTGTTTCCATTAATTAATACTAATTAACTAAACTGCACTCATTTCTTTTCTTCCGTGAGTGAAGGCAGTGTCGGAGATGCTGACGTGAAGGCGGGTGTAGCTGAACAAACGGCAGTTTTAAAATTATAGGGCTTCACAGTTCATACATATCTGTTTATTTGTTTTCTAATAGTGGTATACTATTTATGTATCGTATGTATATTTATCAATCTTAACCTTTTTTTTTCCTTGGAACCAAACACAACTATTTTTTTCCCCTTAAAAAAATTTCTCACTTGCCTTTGGGTAAACCCTAGTTAGTGCCTGCCTGTGTGTCAAGAGATCGATCTACTCCCAATCCTAGCACAGCCAAGTTCGTTGGATCGCTGAAGCTATATGCTTATAGCTGATTATTTCACATGATTATTTCACTTCCTTGATTATCTCTATCTGCTCTTTCCGCCAAAAAAAAAAAAAAGGTGAAATTTTTATTTCATTTGTAGTAGATTATTATATTTTCTTTTCCAATTCCCTCCCCTATGTTTGTGCCTTGTTATTAGGGGCTTTTTTATTTTTATTTTTTATTTTTCTTCTTGAGGTTTGTCATGAATCATGATCACTTCTTTTCTTCTCTTTGTACTATCCAATTTACTATGTATGTGTATATACTGTAGTTTACTGCTATCCATGGGTTTGATCAATAATTTGTTTTTTAATGGGTGTTTTCACTGTCGGATAGATGTGATTTTAGGAGTCATGAAGTTTCTTTGTGAATTTGTTGCAATTGGGCAAGTAGAAGAAAAGGGTTTGATCCGGAAGTTTTTGAATTTCCTTTGCAGGTCATCTCTGTACTGATCAGTACTAGAGATTTTGTAGTTCATAGCGGAGAAAGATGAGTGGCGCTGTGTTTGTGGCTGTTGCTGCTGCAGTCGGCAACTTATTGCAAGGATGGGATAACGCCACTATTGCTGGTAACTCTTTCTTATACACATGGCTGCTCTAATTGTTCATTTCGTCTTTTATTTCCAAGACAATCAATTTTGTGCTTTCAAATGTTCATGATTAATTTTTTTGTAGCAATCGGGTTTGCTTTATTTGTCAAGTTTATACTCATAATCTAATAATAAAATATTTTCTTCTGCTACTACAGGAGCTGTTCTATACATAAAGAAGGAATTCAACTTGGAAAGTGAACCCACTATAGAAGGACTAATTGTGGCCATGTCACTTATTGGTGCCACAGTGATTACTACATTCTCTGGTGGAGTGTCCGATTGGCTCGGTCGCCGTCCTATGCTCATAATCTCATCCGTTCTTTATTTTGCTAGTGGTCTTATAATGTTGTGGTCCCCCAATGTTTACGTCCTACTTTTGGCCAGGCTTTTAGATGGGTTCGGAATTGGTTTGGCTGTTACTCTTGTTCCAGTTTATATTTCTGAGACGGCACCTCCTGAAATAAGGGGTTTATTAAATACTTTACCTCAGTTCACTGGTTCCATTGGAATGTTTTTGTCATATTGCATGGTTTTTGGGATGTCATTGATGAATTCACCAAGCTGGAGATTGATGCTTGGGGTTCTTTTTATCCCTTCCATCATTTATTTTGCATTAACAGTATTTTACTTGCCTGAGTCTCCAAGGTGGCTCGTGAGCAAAGGGCGCATGCTTGAGGCCAAGCACGTTTTGCAGAGACTCCGTGGCAGGGAAGATGTCTCTGGTCAGTCTTTCTGTGCCTTCATAACTACTCCAATCTAATGCATGTGATTTTCAAATAAAATGATGGGAACTAATGGTAAATGTGTAATATAGTAGCTATAAAAAATCTGAGGTGATATGGCTTTGGTTATATTCAACTTTACCAAAATTTTTTCTACAGTGTTTAATTTATCATGCTGTTTTTGTTTTGTTTTGTGTTTTTATGTGTGCGAGTGTTTGTGCTTTAATTTTCTTTTTAGTTTTGTACTGTCTTATATGCTTATCCATGTTTACAAATTAAGCGTTTGGGTAAGTTTGCATTGCAATCATCTTAGGCAGGGTCTGTTAATAACTTAATAGTGAAATGACATCAAGTGTTTGTTTTTATTTTTGATGCACATATGTCTGCAGTATTAGGATAAGTTCAGACGCAAGTCTTTTTATAATATTGGAAGAATCGGGTAGATTCTAGTAAAATATCCTCTTGTTGGCTTCATTAGCACAAAATCTGTAGGGTTTGCTCTATTTTGTAGAAGATCTCTGCTCAATTAGTAGAGCAGGGAACAGTTGGGTTTATTTCTTGAAAAAAATCTGTTAAGCAAATCTACTTGGTCTAATTTGCTAGATAAGAGCTTTGAAAAAATTAAATAATTTGAGAATTTGTTTCATCTGACAGTATTTTGAAAACTGTTCCTGAAAACAAAGTTCAAAAATTCAAAAAAGAAATTCCTTTTTTGTCTTTTCTGAAAAACTGTGTTATGTTCTCAGAGTTCTTGAAATCTGTTATCTCAAAAGTGAACCAAACAGCTCTGATTTTCAGAAAATTGATAGAAAACTAGACCAAACAGGGCTGCAGTTTCTTGACAGACGAAGTGGTGCTCTGTAGTATGTAATACGAAAAGACTGGAGAGAGAGAGAGAGAGAGAGTACAATGCCCTTATGGTGTTGCAATTTGGCAGACTAAAACCCTTTTAGTTTGGAATACTTACATTTAGTCGTATTTAGTGGCACAAGATATTAATTTTTGACGGCAGAGGTTTTGGCATTATACGGATTGTCTTGGGCTTGAATTTGGTGCATTTTGAATTTCCTTTGCCCATTGAGTAAAATTTGTGATGGGGATGTATTTATGAAAGGGGTATACTTTTGAAACATGTCTTAGATTCTCCAAACATTATCTCCTCTACCAATAGTCAGTTTTTAAATTTTTATTTTTTTTGTTAGCTAAGGAGAAAACGCTTTATTAAAAGTCACGACGACACCAAACAAGTACTTGGACACTTCTTGAACCTGCATCATTCTCTAGCTACAGAAAAATTTCGTCCTCAAGTTCTAGTGTAGCACTAACAATATCTCTGACATTTATTCTTTTGTCTATCTTCATCTTCGGGCATGGTTGGTGTTGGACTTTAACTTTCCAATCTTTGTTACAACGTCCATCCGGTCCGTCAATGGAATCATAATAAGGTTCTTTAAAATCACCCTTATGGTAATTCATGATGAATTCGAGTTGAAGCAAGTAAATTAAGGTGGGTCTATGTAATGGTGATAGACATCAAATTCTTTAAAGAAATTGATTAAAATAATGTCTATACCATGTTCATTCACCATGGAAGCATCAAGGGGACGTTTAAACGTGAGGTTCCAACAATGGCAGTAACAAGTATTATTCTCATACGTTCTTCGTCTTGTAGAAAATTAATATGATAACTTTTTCTTGGTAAAGCACAATTTCTAGTTCCCCCAGGGGATTCAACTACTTTAGATATATTCCAGCAAGAAGAAGATTAAAAAACTTAAAATCTGACACGGGATATTCTCCGTTTTGCTGAAAAGTGTTCTAGCAGTCTCCTCTTGCAGGTATCTCCAAAAAAAAAAACCGGCATTTTAAATAAGCATGGTTTTTTGAATCATAGCTTTTTAGAAGTAATGAAATTCAATAAAAATTTGGTGGCTTCCAAACAATGAATGGTTCTAAATAGTTGATGCAGATGTGAATGGCCGCTGATTCTCAAACAATTTTTCCGTAGGAAAATGACGTCAATTCCCGGAATTGAAGCAATGCAGTGAAAAATGTGTTTCTTGCTGTGTCAAAGAAGACCAATATCTGCTAGACTTCAATTCTTGACCAGAAGGATAATCCGAGAAAATCTTCAATCTGGGAAGGTAGAAACAATGGAATCTCTGTATGGGGATAATTTTGACCAGTTCAAGCCTTATGCTTGATTCCAAGGAAGAACTAACCAACCAGTACACACAAGTATAGAAGAAAATAATAAAATGAAAGTTTCAGCATTTCCATTAATTCTTTATGTATTGTTACTGTGACAAGAGATAGTGAACCTTGGGATTTCTTGAGCGAAGCAATATAAGATATAGTTTAACCCCTGAAAACAATATTAATTAAAACATGCCAAAAGATTCTATAGATAACTTTATACTGATTATAACATCATAGACTTTATAAATGATGAGTCAGTAAAAACTTGTCTGACTATTGACTTCATGACTTGGACTATCTACCTGACTATGGGCATAGTGTGCTTCTTGGGCCTTTATGATTGTTGCTTTATTATCATAAGTCAATGAGTTTTTGTTTTTCTTCTCTGCTGTCGTTGATTTTAGAATGACAATCAGAAGAGGTATGGTCAAGTGAATCTTTCTTCTTTTCAATGAAGCAAAATGACGATTTGAACATGTAGTTCTATGTTTGAACCCTTACTAGATATAAGGCATACAGATCAAGAGATAATATGAAGAGGTGCAAGAGTGAAGGAATGCTACCTAATTTTCATGAAGGGATGAGCAGGCTCGTGTTGGTCTCGTATTTCATTATCGTCTTCTTCTCCCACATGCTTTCCTTTGGAGGCGTTCTGTTTGCATTTTCTGCCTAGCTTTTTTGACATGTTGGCTAGTAATCTATAGTTAGGTCTGGCTTCTTTATCATAGATCTATCATGATTGACACTGTTGAACATATTTTTCCATGGCTAGTCTTAACTTATGTTTTGATATTTTATATTGATACCTAGAAATAAACTTCAATGCAATTAACATCTTTTAATTTTTTTCCTCTTCCCTTTCAACAGAGTTTGTTAGTTGTCATATCCTTTGTTGTATGCAATTCTCTCTCCTTTGGGTGATTTATTGGGTAATTTTTAATTCACTTTGATCAACAGGTGAGATGGCTTTGCTGGTTGAAGGACTTGGAGTTGGGGGTGAAACATCTTTCGAGGAGTACATAATTGGCCCAGCCGATGAACTGAACAATGACCTGGAACTAACTGGTGAAAATGATGAAATCAAATTATATGGGCCCGAAGAAGGTGTCTCATGGGTTGCCCGACCTGTTACTGGGCAGAGTACTCTTGGTTTGGTGTCTCGCCAAGGAAGCCTTGCAAACCAAAATATACCCCTCATGGACCCTCTTGTCACCCTTTTTGGCAGCGTCCATGAGAAGCTTCCCGAGACAGGTAGCATGAGAAGCATGCTTTTTCCACACTTTGGCAGCATGTTCAGTGTGGCAGGAAATCAACCTAAAAATGAAGAGTGGGATGATGAGAGCGTTGGCAGAGATGGTGAGGATTACACATCTGATGCCCCTGTTGATGATTCTGATGACAATTTGCACTCTCCATTGATCTCACGTCAGACAACAAGTTTGGAGAAAGACTTGGTCCCACCTACTTCCCACGGCAGTGTTTTAAGCACGAGGACTGGTAGTCTCGTGCAAGGGAACACGGGGGAACCACTCAACAGCGCAGGAATTGGTGGTGGTTGGCAGCTGGCATGGAAATGGACTGAGCGAGAAGGTGAAGATGGCAAGAAGGAAGGAGGATTTAAGAGAATTTATTTGCACCAGGAAGGCGTTCCTGGATCTCAGCGTGGGTCTATAGTTTCTCTTCCTGGTGGTGATCTCCATGCAGAGGGTGAATTCATACAGGCTGCCGCTTTAGTGAGTCAACCAGCTCTTTATTCTAAGGAGCTTATGAATCAGCATCCAGTTGGGCCAGCTATGGTTCACCCATCTGAAACTGTTGTGAAAGGGCCAAGCTGGACTGATCTTTTTGAACCGGGTGTCAAGCATGCATTGGCGGTAGGGGTGGGGATTCAAATACTTCAGCAGGTAACGGATAGAATCCTTAGGAATTTCTGAAGTTTTGTATGTTCTCCTCTTGGGAAGTTCTTAATTCTTGAAGAATATCGTTCAGTGGCCTTTTCATTTTGTGGCTCACAAAGCATCTCCTTCTTTCCTAATTTTTTTACCTTTCCATAAAATGGTCTTTTCTTCTCCGTGTTATTAGCAGGTTTTCAGTTTCCAGGAATACTACTAAAAAATGTTTGGTGCATTTTATCCTATTACCCTGTCTATCCTTGCACCTTTGCTGATTGGACAGGGACACTAAGTAGATCTCATGAAGCTCATCTAATTGAAAGTTGTTAAGGGGTGGCAATTCGTGTTGGCGAACACCACACGATTATTATTCGTGTCAAGAAACCTTGACATGAACATGACATGATTATTTTACGAGTAACACGACACGATATGTGTAACCGGTAAAAGGGGTATTTCTAACAAGAACATGACAGGTTTATCCTACATGTTTAGTTAAACGGGTCTAGTCGGGTTATAAACGAGTTGATGGGTCAAACATGAATATGACACGGATAGAATCCTTAGGAATTTCTGAAGTTTTGTATGTTCTCCTCTTGGGAAGTTCTTAATTCTTGAAGAATATCGTTCAGTGGCCTTTTCATTTTGTGGCTCACAAAGCATCTCCTTCTTTCCTAAATTTTTTACCTTTCCATAAATTGGTCTTTTCTTCTCCGTGTTATTAGCAGGTTTTCAGTTTCCAGGAATACTACTAAAAAATGTTTGGTGCATTTTATCCTACTACCCTGTCTACCCTTGCACCTTTGCTGATTGGACAGGGACACTAAGTAGATCTCATGAAGCTCATCTAATTGAAAGCTGTTAAGGGGTGGCAATTCGTGTTGGCGAACACCACACGATTATTATTCGTGTCAAGAAACCTTGACATGAACACGACATGATTATTTTACGAGTAACACGACACAATATGTGTAACCGGTAAAAGGGGTATTTCTAACAAGAACATGACAGGTTTATCCTACACGTTTAGTTAAACGGGTCTAGTCGGGTTATAAACAAGTTGATGGGTCAAACATGAATACGACACGTTTTATAAGCGTGTCAATAAAGGTCCACACTATTACAATCCGAACACGATTAAGGCTACCCAAACCCACTGATACCGTGTTGTGTTTGAGTGGTGAAGAAGGTATGTTAAATTTGATTAAATTATTAAAGAAGTTTTATCATTTGTGTTTTAAGTTTTTCAATGCTGGAAATTTTGTCAACATTTGTCTTGTTTTCAGTTAGAACTGTACTTTCTTGACAATGATTTCCTTTCTTTTTGAACAACTTTTAGGTTACGTATGTCATATCCTCTTCGGAAATTCAGTGCCTGCTTGGTTCAGTTTTGTGAGAACAGTTGTGTGTTGTCACAGAACAGAATTTCATAAAACAATTTGAATATCGTATGATTGACAGTTTTCTGAAAACTGAGTAAAAAAATTGCCTGGATTTGAGAGAACGGTCTTCTAGTCACCTGAAAATTGTTTTTTGTTGTCGAAATATCTGAAAACTGTTTTCAAAGAACTGAATCAACCAGACCTTCATTTCTCATGCAGGTTATTCAAGTATTTTTTCATACATTCTGATTTTTTTTGGTAAAATAATATAGTAAAATAATATACTGTTTTATCATAATTATCATTATTATTATCATAAATAAATTCAAACTAATACAGAAATTCCTGTGTCAAAACTGTTTTCTTTTAACAGTCGGATAAAGTCTGGAATGCCCAGTACTCTCACTTTATTGATGGTTGCTTGTACTTCATTTTCTGTTCCACTTTGTTTCTAACTAGCTTATTAGGGTTTTTATTGTTTATGCAGTTCTCTGGCATAAATGGGGTTCTCTACTACACACCTCAAATTCTGGAGCAAGCAGGCGTTGGGGTTCTTCTGTCAAATATGGGCATTAGTTCAGTATCTGCATCTCTTCTTATCAGTGCCATCACAACCTTGCTGATGCTTCCTTGTATAGCTGTTGCCATGAGGCTCATGGATATTTCTGGAAGGAGGTAGTTTTCTTCCTGTTGTCTTTCTGTTCTGTTGTCATTACTGCAGAGTATGCTATGAATTGACAAGATCATGGTTTTCCCTTGATTCTCATTGATATCACTGTCAGAAAGTCAGTTAACATTATTTTTTCCCTTTTCTCCGGGCATAATTGTAGTCCATGCTTCAAATATGGCAACTTGTGTCTAAGTTCGATAAACCACCCTGCTCGGCCTGTTTTTATTTAAAAGGCTTTGGGCATTGGGTGTGATAGTCATTCTGCTGGGTTGGATAATTTGCATTTTTTCTGTACATGGGAAATCATTCCATCATATACTTGAACACATAATTTAAGTACTTAAAAATCAAGGTTTTATGTAGTGTACATACATGCATTTACAATACCCATATACAACTATATTTATTTCTTAATCCAGTTAGTTGCTGCCCACTTATTCTGATTCGTCCTCAAGGAGACTCTGGAAGACATTGTAGTCAGGGCTGGGAGATTTTGGCCCTACTTGGGTTGGGTTTGGAATGGGATGGCCTGATTACCTGCTCATTGCCATCCCTATAATAAGTTGGTATACTGTCGGACGGCCTCAGACCTCTCCTCATTCAAACTTGAAGAAAAATTTTGGTTTGAATGTGGGATTAGATCTTTTGGTTTTCAAGGAACTGGCATGGATGAATAATGACCTATTTTTTATCCTTAGAAGTTTCATTTGGGCACGATTATATCTTGACGACAGTATATGTTAGTACTAGTAATTTAGGTGTTGGCCTAGTTGCTCATTTCAGTTTTAATATTTGGATCTTACAGCTTTTGTACCTTGTTAGTTCATGAACCAAAATTATACAATATTGACAGGTGGTTCTAAAAGTTCTGAATTCTAATTAGTGGGGGGTTCAACCATGTTACAAATTTATGGACTTGTTTTGACGAGTTTGTACGAAGTATGATGGTGGTCAATTACTATCTCAATTGTCACAAAACATTTGAAACAACTAACAACTTTGGTTGCATGAACTTGGCTAGCAACGTTTAGAAACGTTTCTGGACAGCCATTCGGCTGGAGTTCCCAGATAGTCTCCATCCAATAGTGTCAGATTCTTCTAAAAAAGGAGTTGCTTATGATTTTTGGGATAAAACGATTTCTGGCATTTGTTTTCCCATTTCCCAGGTTAATATTGCAAATCCCATTATTTTATGTATGTATTTATTGTTCTTACAATGCTTTCTCCCCCTGTTCTCATTGCAGGAGTTTGCTTCTTAGCACAATCCCTGTCTTGATAGCAGCACTGGTCATTCTAGTCATTGGAAGTGTAGTGAATTTGGGCACTGTTGCAAATGCAGCCATCTCGACCGGCAGTGTTGTGGTCTACTTCTGTTGCTTTGTCATGGGATTTGGCCCAGTTCCGAACATACTCTGCGCGGAGATCTTCCCCACCCGGGTTCGTGGCCTCTGCATTGCTATCTGTGCTCTCGCATTTTGGATCGGTGACATAATTGTTACCTACACACTTCCTGTGATGCTCAACTCTGTTGGCCTAGCTGGTGTTTTTGGCATGTACGCTGTTGTGTGCATTATATCATGGGTTTTTGTTTTCTTGAAGGTTCCAGAAACCAAGGGCATGCCCCTTGAAGTGATTAGTGAGTTCTTCTCTGTTGGTGCAAAGCAGGTTGCTGCTTCCAAGAACAACTGACTTGGTTTTTGATGAACTGAAAGGGTCCACGGATGGTTTGAGTTTTTCATTTTCATTATTTTATTTTATTTTTATGTTCTTTTGAGGTGTTTGGAAACAGGTTTGTAGTCTATAGAAAGAAAAATATTTGCTTTCTTCCAATTTGTGCACTTGAGAGTTTTACTTCAAAAGTGGAATCTTTAAGGTTAAGGAGACTTTTAAAAGAAGTTATGGGCTGATGCTTGCCATTTTCACATAAAAGAAGAGTAAAAGCTGTTCACCAATTTGCTTGACCCAAAAGATATGAGCATCTAAAATCTTAAATGCCACCGCAAGCTAAAAATCGTAGCAATCAATGTTGCAACAAAATTAAACCTGAGAATGCTACTAATAAACCTAGCACCAACCCTGTTGATCGTCCTTACCAATGCAGAAGCCTACAAATTCCCCTCTTTAACGGAAGCTTGCATCATTTCTTACCCAATCTCCGTCCCTGTTTCATCATCGCATTGTCACCCCCTTCCAGCCCAGGAGGAGTAGGAGGAGCCACGGAAGCTTGGCTCCACATCATTTATCGGTAGAGACTAGAGAGAGTCTGAACTGTGAAGATAGTCTCAGAAGAGATGTGTGTGTGAGTACTAACTAAGAAAAAAAAAAGAATTGTGAAGATGGTCAATAAACAGTGTCAAAATAAATATAAAAAGGTAGTTTTGAGTTTTTCATTTTTATTTTTGTTCTTTTGAGCTGTTTGGAAACAGGTTTGTTGTCTGTAGATAGATAGATATATATTATATATATATATATATATTTTGTCGTCTTGTCTTGCTCAACTTACATTTTCCTTCTCCTTTTTGTGGCACCTGAGAGTTACAATTTCAAAAGCAGAATCTTTTAGGTTAAGGGGCCAAGAATTTATGGGCAGAGTTGCACGTCTGTGGTTGCTGAACTTGTAAAAGTATAAAAGCTGGTCTTCATTTGCAACACTAAATTTCTGTCAAAAACAACCAAAAAAAAGATCACAGTGTATGAATGTCAACGCTGACATTTGGGATTTCTTATCAATCCAGGTTACTTTATATATTTGCGTATTTTACACATTAAACATAATGCTCCATATTATGATGATGATGAGACAGTCAAAACACTTGATACCAGATAATCAATCCCATGTGTTTTTTCTGGTTAGTGAAGCCAAGTACCACCACCATTATGTCTCTCCTCACAAGTTTGCATTTCTGTTTTCTTGGATCCATCCATTGAATCATTCAAGTTCCCTCCCGTCCGCACTGGATGACATTTCTGCACGTTTTCTCTTCAACTTGCTCTCTGATACCTCTTCCCTCTCATCCACGAATGAAAAAAATCTCTGGACTCGTGCAGAGCGTGAACTGCCATGGCTAGAGGGCTCAGACAATTCAGGAAAGTATCGGCTGAACTGGCGCAACATGGAGCAGAAATATATAAGGAGAGCCAGAAAGCATGCAATCCCACAAATGAGAAAAAGTCCCCAGAAGCTATTTAACTGAAGCTGGTCTGACTCAAGCTGAGAACTCCGCGAACTGCAAGCTATTCTCTTCAGCCACTTGTCGTGTATCTTTTGAAGGTCACCATTCTCTGATAATGTGAGAATGGCGGTAGACATGTCAATGGCTAAAGGAGAGTCTCTTGGAAATGCCTAGTTATAAGAAGAGAAAACAAGCAAATCCAACAAATTGATGTCAAAGGCATTGGTTTCCAACAAAAATCTTGGCTTTCAAACTCAAAAATGAATCCCGACCCCTCCTTTGTGCCTAGGTTCTGCATCGTCAGTACCATGAAATAATGATATAATATATTTGTTGCATAAACGACGTGAAAAGTTACATTTTTCTGTTACTATTACTTGAAAATAATTTGGTTAGCGTTAAGAAGATACTTACAAATCCCCATCCACTTTTAGTGAACTCTTGGCCTACAATTGTGAACTGGCAGTAGTCTGAAAGGAACAGCTCGACATAAGGCTTCTCATCAACCACAGCAGCAACAGTTCCTCTCTCAAGGGCATCAGCATATGCTTCTGGTGAGCCAAGAGGAACGAGCCTAGATTTAGCGATGTTGAGTTCTTCGATTAAGTAGTTTTCAGCAAAAGATCCTATCTGGAACCCAATTGGCTTATCGCTCGTGACCAAGCTTTCAATTCCTGTGATGGGTGAGGATAGCTGCTGCACTGTGAGAATTGATGTGAGGCTTGCGGTATAGCTGGAGTTAATTATCAAAACCACGAAAAGCCAGATAATCAGAACCATGCGGCCAAGCGTGCTCACTGTGTTTTCTCCTGAAAATTTCGAAGCACTTAATTGCGAGTTAGCACCATTAATTAGCTAGGATACTCCTCAAATATATGTGCCAATATTCTATGCATATATAGGGTGGATACATTACTTACTGTGTGAAAAAAACATAGTTGAGAAGCTAAACCTGCAAGATAGAGAGAACAATGCAAATCAAATGACTACTTGCTTACATGTAGTTCTAGATTGAAGCATAAACTGCAGTATACATATACTAGGAGACTGAATTACCAGATAATTGTGATAAATTGTTTCTTAGGTGGCCCCCGGAATTCATCATTTATTCTGTGTTCTAAAATCCACACCACTGCTCCGACAATAAGGAAAGAAGAAGCTATGACTCCCCACATTAATGGAGTGAATGGCCTCAAGAAAGCCCAAGCACTCGAGTTCAGCTTCTTGGTTGGTGCCACTATGACTAACCCTGACTCTATATATGGCTGCGTAAAATCCACTCTCTTTGTACGGTTTGTGACAATTGTAATGTCACCAACAACAGCATCAAAAACCTTCACCAACAGATTTTAAGAATCAGCAGAAAACACACGTCTAATAAAAATAAAAATAAAAATAAAATTAGTATTTCTTTTTCCACTCACATCAGTTGTAATCATATGTACAAGCTCAGCATAGCTTGGGTTCTTGTGACCATCTCCAAAGAGAATGAACTTATAAGGAACTGCATATGGAAGCACCTTTATTGCAGCAACGAATACATCTACGCAGTAACCTTGGATCATATCAGTACCTTTGACCTGCGAAATGAAATCTTTGTAACTCACTCGGTTTGGAACTCCAACTCTTAACTGCCTCCCATTGTTTGGAAAAACCCATCCACGAGGCTGATCTGTTGTTTGTCCCGGCCATATCACGCTGTACAATTGTTGACTTGACGTTGAACGGTTGGGAGGTTTGGCATAAAGGGTCTCAGGGGGCACAACAGACAGCCCTGAATAATTAGACCAGTATCCTATCTGCCGGTATCCATCTCCAACTACATTAATGACATCAAATGAAGGATGCATAGGGAATCTTTCTGGATTAAACTGAATAGGACCAGTTAAACCTGTGATATTAGTCTTCAGAATGTTGCTAAGCAATTGCTTTCCACCATCAAATATGCTCAATGCAGCAAGATTCAGAGTCCCTCCGTGTAGACGAGCTAATTTTGAATCATTGGAGAATGAGAAGGTGCCACCATGATCCAAAAACACTTTAACTGCATTAGCAATCATCCAAACGCTATCATAAGCATACAGACCATAAGGGTTCAACCCAATAGACCCGTTACTCAACTGATTCCACCTCGAAGAGAAAGCCCTTTTCCTTTCTGAGTCAGGTGTATGGGGCCGAAGGGTGAGAACTCCTTGAATAGAGTTGGACGTCTTTGGAGGAAGTGGTGCAGTGGAATCCAAAACAGTTGATAGCCAAGTAGTAGCAATCCAAACATATCCACTGTCCAACATTCCAAGATACTTGGCCACATCAAACACCAAAAGACCTGTTTTGGAGTACGTGTGTAAAACAATTACTCGAGATTCCATCAATCTAACTTTATTTAATTCATCTGTCACCTGAATTCGGGTTGCTGTAGGGTCAGGGGGAAGTACTGCTTTAAAAGAAATTTTACACCTTCTTTCTGCAAGAATGTCCCCTAATGCAGTTATACCATTCCGGCTCTGATCATCATCAGAGTAAACTGCAGTTACCTCTCTATAACCGAAATAACTAACCATCTCTGCAATGGCAGTCATCTGGAATAGGTCACTAGGCGCCGTTTGGATAAAGTAAGGGTACTGTCGAGGAGAGAGGGTGGGGTCTAGAGCCGTGAATGACAGCAGAGGGACATGGAGCTCATTTGCAAGGTGTGAGAGTACATGGGCCATCACAGAATGTTGTGGACCAATAATAGCAACAGTATCAGTTTCCATGTATTTTAATGCTGTGATCAATAAAGGAATTGAGATCATAAGAATAAAATCAGCTGATCAAGAAAATGAACAACATTTAGGGGAATATAATTAAAGAGAGCTAGCAACAAGACACAATCAAAAGCTAAAAAACTAATGATTAATTGCTTAGAATGGTTAAGAAAAGTTACCTCCAACTATGCCTAGAAATCCACTGTAGTTGGAATCGTGAATAGAGATGGCTAGTTTTCTTCCGCCAAGAACACTAGGATCGGAATTGACATCTTCCACAGCAGCAGTGAGGGCAATTCTTGCAACTTTCCCATTGATACTGCTCAATGTGAAAATAGCGCCAATGTTCACATCAGGTTTTGAAACCCCTTCTGAGAATGCTCCCATAAAGAAAATGGATAAAACAAGAAGCCGAACCAAACTCATGATGATTTTGAGCTTCTGAAGTGAAACAGAACGAAGTCACAAATGGAAAACACAAATGTTTGCTAGAAAAACTCTCAAGGAATGAAACAGAGAAAAACATACATGAAATGAAAGCCAACTCATTTGCTAACCAATGTTGGAAAAGTTAAAGTTGCTGACATACAAAAGCAGCAGAAATTAAAGAATTAACATAAGGTGGTAGGAAGTTTAATTCCAAAGGAAACAGGCAGACAATAAACACAAATCTGTCCTACCAAAACACCATATTTAAATAAACAGTAGCAGAATTTTCTAATTTCTTAGAATATTGCAAAGGTATTGTTGCTTATTAACAATTAAAATGGAAGGAATACAACCACCCAATTTATGTATCAATGTACAAGAAATGCTTCAAAGATTGGAAAGGAAATTAAAAATAATAATAATGAAAAAGAAGAAACAAAAAGAGAGTTCACTCACAATTGAAAAGCTAAGTTTCACATGAAAGGGACGAAAACCACATAGCTCAGAAGTGGGCACTTACCTTTTTTTAAAAAAATTATTTAATAA